GGGGGGGGGGGGGGGGGGGGGGGGGGGGGAGGGCTGGGCCGGCCGGCAGGCGGGCGACGATGCAGAACTTCTGCGCTGCCGCCGACTGCACGCGGAAGAGCACGCAGTCCGACCTGGCCTTCTTCAGGTTCCCGCGGGATCCGGCCAGATGCCAGAAGTGGGTAGAGAATTGTAGGAGAGCTGACTTGGAAGATAAAACACCTGATCAACTAAATAAACATTATCGATTATGTGCCAAACACTTCGAGACCTCTATGATCTGTAGAACTATACATTTTGCAGAGGCATCAGAAAACTAAAGAATGATTGGGTTATTTTATTTCTCAAAATTAATTGAAGCAGATACTTGTGAAGTCATTGGGAGAGTCCTTATAGGACAGTACTTCGAGATAATGCAATACCAACAATATTTGATCTTACCAGTCATTTGAACAATCCACATAGTAGACACAGAAAACGAATAAAAGAATTGAGTGAAGATGAAATCAGGACACTGAAACAGAAAAAAATTGATGAAACTTCTGAACAGGAACAAAAACATAAAGAAACAAACGATAGCAATGCTCAGAACCCCAGTGCAGAAGAAGGGGGTGATGAACAGGATGAAGATATTTTGCCTTTAACCCTTGAAGAAAAAGAAAACAAAGAATACTTAAAATCTTTATTTGAAATTTTGATTCTTATGGGAAAACAAAATATACCTCTGGACGGGCATGAGGCTGATGAAATCCCAGAAGGTCTCTTCACTCCTGATAACTTTCAGGCCCTGTTGGAGTGCCGGATAAATTCTGGTGAAGAGGTCCTGAGAAAACGCTTTGAGACCACAGCAGTTAACACATTGTTCTGTTCAAAAACACAACAGAAACAGATGCTGGAGATCTGTGAGAGTTGCTTGCGGGAAGAAACCCTCAGGGAAGTGAGAGACTCGCACTTCTTTTCCATTATCACTGACGATGTGGTGGACATAGCAGGGGAAGAGCACCTTCCCGTGTTGGTGAGGTTTGTAGATGAGTCTCATAACTTGAGAGAGGAATTTGTGGGCTTCCTGCCTTATGAAGCTGATGCAGAAATTTTGGCTGTGAAATTTCACACTACCATAACTGAGAAGTGGGGACTAAATATGGAGTATTGTCGTGGCCAGGCTTACATTGTGTCTAGCGGATTCTCTTCCAAAATGAAAGTTGTTGCTTCTAGACTTTTAGAGAAATACCCTCAAGCTATCTACACACTCTGCTCTTCCTGTGCCTTAAACATGTGGTTGGCAAAATCAGTGCCTGTGATGGGGGTGTCTGTTGCATTAGGAACAATTGAAGAAGTTTGTTCTTTTTTCCATCGATCACCACAACTGCTATTAGAACTTGACAATGTAATTTCTGTTCTTTTTCAAAACAGTGAAGAAAGGGGTAAAGAACTGAAGGAAATTTGCCATTCTCAGTGGACAGGTAGGCAATGATGCTTTTGAAATTTTGGTGGATCTCCTGCAAGCACTTGTTTTATGTTTAGATGGTATAAATAGTGACACAAATATTAGATGGAATAATTGTATAACTGGTCGAGCATTTGTACTCTGTAGTGCAGTAACAGATTTTGATTTCATTGTTACCATTGTTGTTCTTAAAAATGTCTTATCTTTTACAAGAGCCTTTGGGAAAAATCTCCAGGGACAAACTTCTGATGTCTTCTTTGCTGCCAGTAGCTTAACTGCAGTACTACATTCACTCAATGAAGTAATGGAAAATATTGAAGTTTATCATGAGTTTTGGTTTGAGGAAGCAACAAATTTGGCAACCAAACTTGATATTCAGATGAAACTCCCTGGGAAATTTCGTAGGGCTCAGCAGGGTAACCTGGAATCTCAGCTAACCTCTGAAAGTTACTATAAAGAAACCCTAAGTGTTCCAACAGTGGAGCACATCATTCAGGAACTTAAAGATATATTTTCAGAACAGCACCTCAAAGCTCTTAAATGCTTATCTCTGGTACCGTCAGTCATGGGACAGCTCAAATTTAATACATCAGAGGAGCACCATGCTGACATGTACAGAAGTGACTTGCCTAATCCCGACACGCTTTCAGCTGAGCTACACTGTTGGAGAATCAAATGGAAACATCGAGGGAAAGATATAGAGCTTCCATCCACCATTTATGAAGCCCTTCATTTGCCTGATATCAAGTTTTTTCCTAATGTATATGCTTTGCTGAAGGTCCTGTGTATTCTTCCTGTAATGAAGGTTGAGAATGAACACTATGAAAATGGACGAAAGCGTCTTAAAGCATACTTGAGGAACACTTTGACAGACCAAAGGTCAAGTAACTTGGCTTTGCTTAACATAAATTTTAATATAAAACATGATCTGGATTTAATGGTAGACACATATATCAAACTATATACAACTAAGTCAGAGCTTCCTACAGATAATTCAGAAACTGTTGAAAATACCTAAAAGACTTTTAAAATGGGCTTTCTCTTATATTTGATATTTGGAAGAAAAGCCATAAGGTATATGTAGGTCACTTATCACTGAATATCTTTGCCTACAGGCCTCATGAATACATTAGCCATTGGTAATCTGCCTATGTACATGGCACCTGTTTGAGCTCTCGTGCTTTGAAAAATTGTCTGTTCTTCCAGAAGACTGCATTGGAAGTACCACATTTCACCTCTGCGTGACCTCTGCTAGTAGCACTCTGAAATTGTTTTAGTTAAGTCTTTTAGGTTATAAAATGTATTATTACCATGGATCCTGTTGTCAGGTATTATTATCAATTTTGAAGAAATAAATTTTGAGGAGGTATAAGGAAAGAATGCATCTTATGAAATGTTGCAATGAAGCCTACTGTTGACCTTTGACTATTAGGAGTTTTAAGTGTGTTAAAATCTGTAATGGACAATTAAGGGAATTAACCAGAGTTGTGAGCTTACCAAACAGATTTCAGTATAGATTTTGCCTTTATCAAACGAACTTAAAGAACAAGTTACAGTTAAAATTTGAGTGGAAGAGCTTGCCGTGGTTGTTCCACAACTGGTTGTTGCTGTTTACATTCCTTTGTTGAGCCTACGTCTTCATAAGCCTACACTTTCATTTTAGCAAGTAAATGGTGAACACTTCTGCTTCACTGTCAAGACAGAATCAGAGGCTGTTGATATGGGCAACTTGTCTGTTTTCTTTTTCCATGACTATATCTACTGCCTCGTCTTGATTTATAAGCAAAACCTGGAAAACCTACAAAATAAATGTTTCACAGTTTATCTAGAAATAATACAGAAAATATTGCTGTTATTTTTGGTAAAGAAAATCAATTTTGTATAGTTTATTTCAATCTAAATAAAATGTGAATTTTGTTTAAAGTTAAAAATAAATAAATAAATAAATAAAATAATGGTGAAAAATGTGCAAAACAAGGAAACCATAGGAAAATATTAAAACAATAAAATATAGTAATTAATTGGATCATTAAAGGACTAAAAAGCCTTAAAGTTTATTGTATTCACTTATCAAAGATCTAAGGAGAGAAAAAAACTTGTATAATTCCATATTCTTATTTTATGCCTTTCCCTAAACTTCAAGACACCTGAGTTTCAAAAACAGGTTGTTACTGAAATCTCCTGAACAAATGATACCATGTGCAAATACCAATGTTTTAATACATTGTCACTCTTGAATAGCTCAGGGACCAAACACAGAATTTTAAAAATTTGTTTCTTTTTCCATAGGCTGCCAGTCTTGTATCCCTGCTTAGAAATTCTATCATGGATATGCAGATAAAGAGAAGGAAGTTGGATGCAAATAATATCATCACTAATAAGTCATGTGTAAAGTTTAAATAGACTAGGTTGAAATCCAAAGTTCATTCTCAAAGGAAGATTTGATTTATAGTTTCTTAGTGATGGTTTTCTTTTCTTGTTAGCATATGTGGCCAAATATAAGCTAAATACTTATATAATAGAAACCAAATCTCAATAAGGACTTAAGAAGAAAGCATCAAGTACAAAACTGCATTCCCATACAGGCAATAATGACAGAATGAGGAGGTATAGGTCCTTAATCCATCAATTGTTTCTACTTTCGGGGGTCTTTTGGACTAAATTAGTAGTTCTTAATATTTTTGTCCTCCCAGGAATCTCATACTCCCATGGACATCTAGGATTCTCCTTGCTATGTGACCTCAAGCCAATCACTCAAACTCTTTCATCCTCCACATCTCTTGATTAGAGTCCTCAGGTCTAGGGTACATGGAAATCATTCCAGAATGAGAGTCACATGCTCTGAATTTCCTCATACTGGCTTTTCTGCTAGCTGGCTGACTCATTCCCTCTAATGTTCAGGCTATGAGTCAAATTTGAGATGATAGGTATACTACATTGAATGTATTAATAATAACAGAAATTAAACATTGAAGCCCATATCATTTGCTTCCTCAATAAGTGCTTTAATCAGCTTTTCTGCTGCTGTGACTTAAAGACCCAACCAACACAACTGTAGATGAGGAAAAGTTTATTTGGGAGCTCTCAGTTTTAGGTCTCAATCCATAGATAGCAGGCTGCATTCCTGGGGGCTCAAGGTGTGGCAGAACATCATGGTGGAAGAGTATGGCAGAGGAAACAGCTCACATGATGATGAGGAAGCAGAGATAGACTCTGCTCACCAGATACAAAATATAGACCTCAAAGTCACACCCCCAATTCCCACCTTCTCCAGCCACACCCTACCACTTCAGTTATCAGTCAGTTAATCCCTATGAGGGGATTGATTAGAGTCCTCAGGTCTAGGGTACATGGAAATCATTCCAGAATGAGAGTCACATGCTCTGAATTTCCTCATACTGGCTTTTCTGCTAGCTGGCTGACTCATTCCCTCTAATGATTGTGTTAAAACTCTTACAACCCAATCATTTCTCCTCTGAACCTTCTTGCATTGTCTCACATGTGAGCTTTTGGGGGACACCTCACACCCAAACCATAACAATAAGCCTCGTTGTCTCATAGAACCTAAAGGTTGTTTTTATAGGCATGTAGTCAGGGAGCCAGGACAAAGGGGAGAAACTGTGGTGGAGCCAGGATGAGCCCTATTGCACCTAATTCTCCCCTACACCTGGCAAGTCTGAATACTGGTAATAGTATGTCAGGTTCTTTTCACTTTCAATTCATGATGATTTCAAGACATCTTTACTTCTATATCACATTCCTTTCCTCCATTGGTGCTCCAACTTCTTTGTTGTTTTTCTTACCAGCTATCACTGCGTTCAGCCATTAAACAGCTGTGAACTTGATGATATATGGGGATCTATTTGACATTATTTGGCCACTGTGGCTTCAAAGAATTGAGTGATGATTACTAGAAGAGACTCTTGTGTTATGGCTGGGGACATATATTGGTTGAGGGATGGGTGTGGGACTAAGGAAGTGGAGGAGATATTTGATCCCACATTTGGACTGCAGGAGCATTACAAATTCTTTTTAATAATACAGAATAAGACTCTAGAGAGTAATTGATCCTAGAAACAGGAGAGCAGCCACTAGAGACTCTACACAAAGAGGGAAGAGCTGGCTATATTTCTGTTGCAAAAAATAATCTGTGAGTGCTGGGGTTGTAGCTCAGTGGCAGAGCACATGTGAGGAACTGGATTCCATCCTCAGCACCATATAAAAATAAACAAAATAAAGGCATGCTGTCCATCTACAACTACAAAAAAAAAAAGTTTTACAAAGAAATAATCTGTGAATGTTCCATATGAGCTTGAGAAAAATGTATATTATGCGATTCTTGGATGAAATATTTTAGCCTTTAATGGGCTCATCACTAGACTACATATGGCCAAACAAAGAATAAGTGTGCTTGAATAAATCTCAATAGAATCTTCCCAAACTGAAATGAAATGGGGAAAACAATTTTGTAATCCAAATTATCTTTGAACAAGCTTCAAAGTATGTAACATACAAGTAATTTGAACACCAGCAGGAGAAGATTCAAGCAAAAGAAATATTTGAAGGAATAATGGCTGAGAATTTTCTAAAATTACTTAAAATATTAGCCACAGATCATGGAAGTTCAGATAAAACAAAGCAGGAAAGTATATATACTAAGATAAATAAACAAATCAACAAAAAGAAAAGAAAGAAAACCACATCCAAGCATATCAAATTCGAATGGCAAGAACCAAAAGAAAAAAAAATATATCCAAAAAGAAACAAAGATAAGAATTGTGGACAAATTCAACACAAACCATGCAAACATAAAGAAACAGTCGAGTGAAATATTTAAAGGGTTGAAATAAAAAGAAGCGTCAAATTCGAATTCTATATCCAGAGAAATTGTACTTCAAAATTGAAAAATAAATGAAATATTTCTCTAACAAAGAGAGAGAAGGAATCATTATTAGAAGAATCATCCTGCAAGAAAAGACAAAAATGTGGGGCCAGTAGGGTGGTTTTGTCCTATAACCCCAGCTAATCAGAAGGTAGAAGCAAGAGAATGCAATGTTATAGGACACCCACAGCAACTTAGCCAGATGCTGTCTAAAATTTAAAAAAATAAAAACGTCTGAGGATTTGGCTCAATTGCAGAGTGCCCCTGGATTCAATGCCAAGTATAGAGGGGAAAAAAAGTTAAATTAAACTCTTTGGGGGGAAGAAAAATAATGTATCCGATCCATATAAAAGATAAGAAAATGACTGGTGAGAGAATAAATGAAAATAAACTAAAATTTTTATTTTCTTATTTTTTTTCTGCCCACCTACCAATGTTGGTTCTATTTGTTTCCATATTGTTATGGGAATTTAGTGTTGTACATAAAGAGGGAATTGGTTGTTGCATATTTGTACATACTCACAACATAACAATATAATTTTGCCCATATTCTTTTCCATGATTTCCTCTTTTTCTCACTTCCTCTCTCCTCCTATCCCCTGTTCTCTACTCTACTGATTTGCCTTCAATTTTTGTGAGACAATACACCCCTTTTTCCTTTTTCCTCCCTAGCTTCCATATATAAGAGAAAACATACAACCTTTGACCTTCTGAGTTTGACTTATTTTGTTTATTATAATTGCCTCAAGTTCCATCTATTTTCCTGCAAATGACATAATTTCATTTTTCTTTATGGCTGAGAAAAACTCCATTGTGTATGGATACTACATTTTCTTTATCTGTTCATTGGTTGATGGACACCTAGATTTTTGGTTCAATATTTTTATTATTGTGAGTTGGGCTGCCATGAACATGTGTATGAATGTAATGTTGTACTATGATGACTTAAGTTCTTTAGGATAAATACCAGGGAGTAATATAGCTGGGTCACATTGTGGTTCCCTTCCTAGTCTTTTGAGAAAACTTCATACAAACTTCCAGAGTCGTTGTGTTAATTTACAATCCCACCAACAGTGTGAAAATGTTTCATTTTCTTCATATTCTCTCTAGCATTTATTATTTTTTGTATTCTTGATGG